CTTTCAATTTTCAATAAAAGTAAAATAAACGATAATAATAGACATAAAAGTAGAGTGATTTTAACTATAGACTGAAACGACAGTGTTACAAAATGTGGACATAAAGAAAAAAATACAAAAAACTGGAATTATCGATTTTTTTTAAATTATTAATTAGTTTTTGAGATGATTTAATTTTATATAAAAAATTAACTGTCTTACTAATTACTAAAACATCCTGAGCGGTGATTTATGTGCAACTCAAATTTCCTTCAACTCAAAAATTGCAAGTTCAAACCGTGATTCCGGCACCACTTTTTTTCTTTATATTTCTCAATTTAAGTGAAATAATCGACCATAGACACAAAAATAGAGCGATTTTAGACTGAAACGACAAAGTCTGTCTCAACTAAAAAAAAAAAAACAGTTGTCCATGATAGTGATTTGGTCCTTAATAAAGTGATTCGTTGCCAAATTTCGAAACGACCATCTGTCATAGCAATTTTAATCGCATCAGAAGTAATCTAAGCCGGCTTTGGTGAAAAAAACAATAAAAAATTCCCCAGCCCGCTTCGATATATCACTGTTGTAAATTGGATTTGTAGGATCGTGATCTCGGCCGTCTGTGATTATGACGGATCAGAAGCGGGATTCTATTAGCAATCTCTGTTATTTACTCTATGATTAGGCCGCGGTTTCTGGGGGCAATTTCCCGACCCATCTCGTTGCTACTGCACATCAAGCCGTCAAAAAACTCAAATTTAAACATAATAATCGTTAAATATTTATGATTGCGACGAAACACCACAAATGAAATTGATATATTGTGGTGTGGCGTCGAATCGAAAATATAATAATCGCATTCGTATGAAATATTCACCAAAATTTCCGATTAAAACCGATGAATTGTTTAAGAGAGGGAGAAAAAATGTTTTATATTGTTTATTTTGACACGATGTGGAGTCGTGACGGGACAAGTTGCGTGTCGGAAATTGTAGTAATTTGAAAAAGAATAAATTTTTACAAGGGATGGGACTTAAGAAAGAGGTTTTAAGGGCGAGTTTTTTACAAATGACCCGAAATTGGTGTGTTTATTGAAAATGGCATCTGTTTAATAAGTACGACATGTGCAAGGGTTTGTCTATTGTCTGTATATGCATGCAATTGCAATTATATACACTTTGGCCGGTGGCCAAACGCCAAAATTGACGGCGAAAAGGGTAAAAAACGATGAAAAAACGTTGCCGAACTCCAGATTTTTGAGTTGCATAAAAAATATAAAGTTTGACTCCTCGTTTATTGATCCAAATTGATAAAATATGTAGCTGCACCAATCTTTTATGGCGACCCTGTATGTTTCAAAAAAATTTTATTGAAAGGGATTTTTTTGAAGAAATGTTTTTCCATTTATTTTAATATACTAGATTGAAAGTTAAAATTAAAAACAATCAATGTTTTATAATTTTTCTTGGTTAAACAAAAAATATTCCAAATTTCCAAAATATTAAAAAAAAACATAATAAACCATTATTGTAGTGTAACTGGACG